CCATACCCCCATTTTCTCATTTTATATACATTTTCTCTCTTTTTTGACCAATAATTGCATTACAAAAATAAATATACATTTTAAATCAACAAAAAATAAGGTTATTTATATAGTATTTATAATAAGATTTAAAATGTATATTTATTTTTGTACAAGATAGTCAACTTTTTTCGCACTAATATGCAAAAAGTGAGAAAATGTTCAATATAAAATGAGAAAATTTTCTCATTTTATATTTATTTTTGTATTGAACATTTTCTCACTTTTTGTATTGAACATTTTCTCACTTTTTTGACCAATAATTGCATATTAGTGCGAAAAAGTTAACTATCTGGTAAAAAATAAATATACATTTTAAATCTTATTATTAATACTACATAAATAACCTTATTTTTTGTTGATGCTCAATGTAAAATGAAGAAATTTTATCATCAATTGCAAACAAAAATAAGACACAAACGTAATATAGTAGCTTCATTATTACAGATACTTCAGATTGAAACTCAAACAAAGTTTTCAATTACAACACGCAAATAGAAACCCCATATTCATATGGGATAATAATAATACTTCAGAGTCTCCAACTCTGATGAAACCTACGAAAACAAACAAACAAACTTTATTTAAAATGCGACCGCAGAGAAACGAACTTCACTCTTCCTGCTTTTATTCTGGTTCAGCCTTTGAAACTTCAGTTGGGGGCGAACTTCCTGACAGTGGTTGTACTCCCATTGATCTCCATTGAAAGCACGGGCCTATTGTTGAATATGGCTTCAACCAAAGCTTCACTTGTGATCACAATCCTTCCATAAACTGGCTTCACTCCTCTTGGTGTTTGCTCAATCGTCACATCCTCTATGCAATGGCCCCATCTCCTACGCAGTAAAACGAATAAGAAGAAGGAAAAAAAATTAGACAAGGCATATGTTTTCAAAATTACATTACATTATAAGGATACATAAACTTCCACATTATCGAAACTATAATCATTTTCTAAAGAAACGTAAAATTCATAGCGATTTCGTCGTATTTGAGACTTTTTTTTAAAAAATTTACCTTCCGAAAAATTCCAAGATATCCTCTTTCCTCGGCACAGAATCATGAAAAGCGATAAGCAGAGTTTTGCAGTCTACAGCGTTCGGTGCGACCCTGTTATAATAAAGACCACCAGAGTCATTCATATCAGGGTTGAATATGATTGTGCCGATACCATCCAAAATGTAATCCATCCCTCTCGCAATGGCATCCTTATTGAAGTAGAAGAATCGCAAGTTCAATTGCTCAACGGCCATGGAGCCAGTATAAGGAATGCCTAGGCGTTCTCTCATCGGACGAACACCTGCTCTGACAATCTGTAGTATAGACCCAGCCTCTGAAATAAAGTGTTCGATCACCGAGTCTTCTCTGCAATCGCGGATGTAGGTAAGAAGATCGACGCCGATGAACTGCAAATACATCCACAGTGCTAAAATGCTGCGAGAGGTTGTTATAGGATTCCCTAAAGAGACGAGTCTCCCATAGATCTGTCGTTCCAAATTGTGGAAGGAGATCATCTCACGGATGGTCGGCATCGTCGTTGTTTTTGTTGTTGCAGAGAGGAGAGAGGCTGAGTGAAGAAATATGCTGTTTGGGTCTGTTGATTTATAGAGTTTGATCGGATGTGTTGGTTGTCTCTTTGGAAGAGACACGACGGTTGAGGGTTTGAAGTTGGAGGGAAATCAACGGTTGGAAATTTGAGCGGGCGGTTGGCGCTGTTTTTTGAAGAGAACGGTTACCATACCGGATAGGTTTTTTTTTGGACCCGTTAAGATCTTGCGGGGACTTCGATTTAAATCAGTAATTGGCTTTGAAATGGATCGATAAAGGGCGTTTAGGGATTTGGATCCTAACCATTGTCACTTGGGCGGTGAAGAAAACATTTTACATGGATTCAATAATTTCAAACTCCTCTACTGCATTAATTACTAAGAATAAACAGATAAACAGATTGAGATTGTGATCTAACTTCAAAAGTTTACCACGGTGACTCATTTGAAACAACTTATATATAAATATATAAATAAATTACATGAATATATATATATATATATAT